TTTTGTTCAGAGGAATTCTTGACTATAACGCGAAATTTACTATATCGAGACTTGACTATATCGAGTCTTGACTGTATCACAAGTCTTTGTAAGAAAACTCAAATTCTATAGGCGTCATCGCATATCAATTTTCTTTCTGCTTAGACTAATGATAAAGTAACACCATACGGTATACTATGCAGGTCTGGAATCGGATACACTTCAACCGAATAACTATTCAACTATCATTACCGGATAGCGATGTCAGACAGTTGAATAATCAATAATTATGGTGTATAACCGAATAAACCGAATAATTGTATAATCAATACTTTTTTGTTCTATTCTAAATAAAACATTCAAGTTAACAACGTTTCTGGTTTTGGTTTTTTTTTTATTTTAACAAACACTGGATTGGCATTCTTTTATTATTCTAGCTCAAGATCCACTATGAGTAAATGACCATCCCAACGTAATGATTCATCACCGGATAATCGAGATGTTACAGTGATAGAATTTTTTCGTAGATTGTTGACACATAGAATGGATCATAACGTACTTTTATTTAATACTTTTCCTTTATACAAATTCCATACGGCCTAACATCTTTGCCTTCTTTGGAAATCCAATACTCACCAACTCCGGTTTCCCTGGCCTCGATCTTTACTAAACTTTTCGGGTTAACCCGATTTTGAATTACAATCACGTATTTCCTTCCGTCAAACTCAAATTCCGTTGCGTAACGCTCAGCTATGTTAATATCAGGCGTTGAATAAATGCCACGCCCAAAGGCAAACCGTTTTCCCTTGCTCAACAAATATCCTTCTTGAGAAATTGATCTTGCATGATATTTAGCGGTTCCATGGTAAGACACTGGCCAAGCTGTTCCGCCAGTACCAAGCCAAGTATCATCACCATTGTCATATTGTTCAGAGACCTTTAAAGCAAACCGTTGCCATCCACATGGTCTTTGGTATTGAACTTTTCCTCGCATGTAAGTCACTCCGATATCCCTGATATGTGTAAAATCGTAATCGTATCTCGGGTCCAAGGCGCTTGAGGGTAGATAACTGATTACGCATCCACCACCACAAAGTCGTAGAATCATATATATCGTGCTTCCCTTTTGAATGTTGTAGTCCGCGAGCGTACGGCCGTCCGTCAATTGCTCGCCTGCAAAAATTAGTCTTTGATCCTCTGGCGAAATGTCATACTTAATCTGAATTAGTTCCTTCAAGTAATTTACGGTATAGTTTGGTTCGCAGTCGATGACAATAGCTTTCCCACGGAGAGTTATCACATAAATTTGCATCGCTTGTTTGGTTAGTGGTGCATTTTGACCGGATTGATTTACAGTGGAATAGACATTGCCGCCGACAAGATTAGCTTGATGAAATGACTTCAAGTCTATCTGCCGATAACAAGCGCTGTATGCATCTTGTTCTCGAATTACTTTTTCCGATACGAAGCTATCGGTTCCCATCATGGCCGAAAGTGCCGAGTTAAGAAGATTGATGTTTAGAGAGGACATTGTTACCAAATTGCGCGATACGATGTCTGTCGTAGAAAAAAAACGCCACTATCGATATATATGTAAGAATTTGTCTTTGTCATATTTTTACTATAATCGGGTTCCATTGTTCCGTTACCTGCACATGTATGATCGCTTTTTATTGGGTTATTTGACACATCCGATCTGAAAATCGCTCAAGCCATGCCATGCATGCTATAAAAAGAAAGATCGAAAGTAAAAACAATGAATAATGATTGTTCGATGAAATGATGTCGAATGTAGACGATTGTCTATGTTAAGATTCCATCCCTAGACACACAAATTACCGACTAGTTTATTAAGTCATTCTATTATGTGTGCATTTACCCGTTGTATATTTGTCCAATTAAAACATTGCTGCGATACAAATAATGTCAAATTTCAGCCATGATATGAATAATACATTATAATTTCTCATCCCAAACCCATCTAACGGGAGATCGCATTCTGGATTCTGGAATCAGTATTGATACATCATTAAAGATAGAAATCAGATTTTTGTAATCCCGTTGCTAAGTAACATATAAAAATCCTGACGTTTAGCTCTATAATTGTTTCTATTAATAACTAACGTCTTGAGAAATATATTACTAATCAATCATTGTCTTTCGCAATCCGCAATTATTACTAATAAATGAAGTTTTTGTGGCAATAATAACAACCATTCTATTATGTAAAGTTCATCGAGTTCATAGCCTGTTCCAGCCAAATAACATTATATTAACCGATTCGAGACCATTGTCCAATCTCTAATAACCGTTTACAGGGGACTTTGTTTTCTGAGGAGAGTAAGCGATGCTTTCAAGAAATAACGTACGATTTTGCAACGCGCACTTCAAGTTTATTCATATACCAAAGACAGGATAAATATTTGCCAGATAGAATCTGAATAGTTTTAGCTTTTCATCAACTACGCGCGCTCGTTAGATTTATGTTCGGCCATCGATAATCTAGTTAATCACATGACCATTTAATGTTCAAGTTTTGTTATGATCGATTGGTTACTGGTAGCAGTAGACAATGTGCTGTGCCAATTTCGGCATTAAACAATTTTACGTTTATTTATATCGTTTAACTGTAATGTCGAGCATAATATTTCCCGTTACGATCTTCCCTTCTCTACTGTTGAATCAATCTCGTTTCGTAACGTGTCAGTCGACAAATGGAGAAAATACAGAAAGGTTTAGTTTCCTCTTGTTTCATGTACGTTTTTTCCTTCATGTGCTTACGCTCTCCTTTTGGGTTGTGAAGATATATCGCAGACGCTTTCTTCCGGTTTTTCTGAAAAAGAAGCTCTAGTATTCGGACGATCATACTTGATACCTGCTTCTTCAAAGCCGATTAGATTGGAGCAACAGACAAGGACGGAATTAATAGCGTTGCTTGAAAAGAACGAAAAGTTGTTGAATGACAAGTGCGTGTCGTGTGAGCTTTGAAATCTTACTTTGCGTGCAGGCTTTTTCACCTGCTTGTTATTATTTTCGTCATATTCGATGATAGAGAGCTATGTTCAAAGTTAAAAGACGGCGGAGAGAAATTACGAACTACAAATGCACGTATACGAGAACGATTACAAAAAATCGACACGGTTACTCGTTCGTCTATTGACGAGTCGTCGATGAGAAAAAAGGACAACGGTTTCACCGAAGAGTTTTCTAACGACTTGGAATCACAGTTTAGAAAGTTATCATTGAACTCAAATATGAGCGGAATTGGAAAGGGACCGAGATATTACAATGTTGTAAAGACAAGGCTATTATCCGTCGATGAAGCCGCGGCCATTGAAGAGAAGCAATTTAAGGTGAGAAACCTGCTATGAGAATCGTCATGAATTGAGTTGACCCGTACAATGGCTGAATCTGTGTATGGTAACTTGTAGGCCGCTCGATTGCATAGAGTAAATGAAAAAAGGGTTTCCGCTGTCTCGTATAAGGTCGATTTTGATGGGTACGTCGTTGTTGTTTTTTCTTTTAGTGGTTTTCCCGATCCAATGTGCTTGATTACAATTCCAATATGATTTATTACAGATTTCGGGATAGAGCGGACGATGATTCCCTTGAATCAGATTATCTTGGTGACTCTGATGAAGAAGACGAGGAAGAAGAAGAAGATGGTTATTACTGATTTATTTTGCGCCGTAATAGACTACGTTCTGAAGGCGAAGCATTTTCCTTATTGCAAGGAAAGACGTTGCTGACAATCTTTAAACAATCATCTGCATTTTTTGGTGAAATTTTCTGCTGTAAGGTATGTGCATTTTCGTTCAAATTGGGACTGTGGGTGTCAAGTGTTCAGCTGAATACGGAAACTTTTTTTGCTTTGAGCTTTTTGCATATTGATATTCAAAATAACAAATAATGGTAAGCGGACGTGGTCAATCAATAGGCGTCTTGGTCAGATAATGTCAAATTTTAGAATATCATATAATATAGAATGCGTTCTTAAAAAGAAATAATAATAAATATGTTTAACCCCCTTATATACAACGCATTGTTAATGATTACGGTGCAATGAGCGTGATGACAAACAAAGAGCGTCGTTCTCGCCATCCACACGTCAGGTCTTGTGTTCCTATCGTACGATGTTAACCTGTGTGTTATCTCATTTCTTCAGGATAGTATTCAGCTGGGGTGAAAATGCATTCTACTCGAATTCATCAGTCTGTGCTGTATCACTTATCCGTGTCAAGAGGTCGTTAATGACACTTGTCTGATAACACGCACTTTACGTTCAATACGTCAACGTTATTCTGATCGGCAGTGGAAGCTTATCATCTCTATCAGCTGGTAAGTTACCTATTTGGTGGAGGCTCAAATTGAGTTTGTTTTCCACAAAAAAATGGCAATAGCTTTTGAGGAATATGAGTTTATCGCTCGCGTAATACCATCAGTAAGCAGTAGAATTTAATTTTTACAGGAGTGTCAAATTTTGTGCTTTATCGCATCCCCAGTGTTTCTATCTGCATTCTAGTCATGAAGCGTATATCGAAGCCTTGCGTACGTAAATAACACTATCCAGCATGCATTATTGGCCGACGCATCATCCGGGCTGGTGCTATAAGTTTCACTGTTGCAACATGGCAACTATGCTACGTATTTTTATTTATAAGCTTTAAAAATAATTGGTTCTCAATATATTTACTTTTACGCAATAAAGACCTCAAAAACTCAATATTTACTTTTAATTAATAATTTTCTTATATTTTCTAAACTCCGCCCGGAAACGGCAACTAACGGTAAACATGCATGACGTTATTTCAGTGTCTTGTTAACTCATCCATATTGACATATGTAGAAGCACATTGTATAATTCGAACCTTTGAATAAAATTCAGATAAATTGTAATAAACCATAAACCACGAGTTTATTCAAAAAGAGTTTGAGTTGCTAAATTATAAAAAATGAAAGTGTTAACATTGTAATATTGTAAGTTGACTTTATTTGTATCAACATGTTTACATGTAACCGTACCTGCAGCTGAATCCAAATGATAACTATTTCTCGGTTTAGGCAAAGCTCCAGTAGGTAAGAGTGTGCTGGAATAT